TATTCTCTGTTATATTTATTTCGTCAAGCGGAGATAAGATTTTAAGTATTTACCTAAGCCGCAGAATTTACCCCACTATAATAATCGCGGCAAACATCGATCGAGGCGCAAGACAGGTAGACAGTTTCCGACTAACTAAAGTAAAACATATGTATGAAACGATTTTAATCTTATCTATAATACAAACAGAACGTCATCGCGTTACTTATCCATTTTTAGACCGAAATAAATTATTGTCAAAAGCGTTTTACGGAATCACACTATTAATTACGGATGTATTATGTGCAACAAAAGTGTGGCCTCACACAGTAAAAAAAAAAATGTTAATTTGTGAAGTTAACATAAATTTGACACGTGAAAAGATTAAAAAAATAATAACATATCAGTATTATGTTAATTTTACATTGAAGTAATAATCAAAACGTCGTAACACAAGAAAAGTTCTACATTTTGACGCACGATTTTTTACTGTGCATGTAGCGCTTGCGCTTACTCGAACTGCCGTTGAATTACGTAATTACACACGTTATAATTATATAATTTATACGTTATATATACACGTTAACACAACATATGTTATTATTAACACAACATAAATATGTTATATCAGGGAATAAAAATATGCTAAAAACACGCACATATACACTGAAAAAACAATTTTGTTGAGATTACCAAATTTTGGTAATCTCAACCAAACTGTAGTTTCCAGAACACTTTATTTGGTTTGATTCACCAAATTTTTGTTATCTCAACAAAACTGCTTTTTCAGTGTAAAAGATCGTGTAACAAAACTAAGATTTCTAAACATAAAAATACGATAAATGATAAATGAAGGAAAGAGAAACCGATACAAGACAAAACACTGGATGTCAGTATTTGAATAAGTTTATTTGAATATTTCAAACGTTTTGATCCAACATTCGAATCTTCTTCAGTGATACATTGGTAAGAAATATCAGTTATTTTGATTTGTATTGTAATTTGTAAAAAGGAAAAATAGTACTTAGACTAAAATCTTGAAAATGTAAAGCAAAGCGTAGAATGCTTCTATTTTTATAAAAGTATCACATCAATACATGTGTGTGAAGTAAAATATAAAGAGCTGTTTCGTAGCATAGTAAATAATTTGCAACTTGTGCTAATTAAATAAATAAAATTTATCTGTTTTATCTCAGAATAAAAACATATATTTTATCTATACATGTGTACACATGTACACATCTGCTGAGTTAGATTTTAACAGTGATCCTGTACAACATTNATCAGACATACGTCTTACATTTTGTGGTTGCATAAATTCAGGCGTTTTTTGTTATGCTAGGTTATGTTAGGTCAGTGACTCCCCCCCACCAAGGCCGCGCGGCCGAGGTCAGTGCCCCGCCAAGGCCGCGCGGCCGAGGTCAGTGACCCCGCCAAGGCCGCGCGGCGGAGGTCAGTGACATTACTGTAGTATATATATAATACATATAATACATATAATACAATATAAAGTATAATATTATAAATATATAATAAATATTATATGTATAATATTGTATTATTTAATGTTATATATAATATAAATTACAGTCACGTTATTTTCACGTGTTGTTTTTCTACTCTTTTCTGTCGCGTGACTTTAGTTACGTTTTTACTTCTCGGTCCAAATGTCTTTTTTAATATAGGATAATAATCTCATTGTAGAAGGCCCTTTAAAATTTGAGAAACAACTATGAATTCAGAATTCAGTCTTCTCTCTGTCAGTACTGAGAGTGAATTTCGGAACGCTCTCTTGAAAGAGCAGAGAGTGCAGTCAACTCGAACGCCACTCGCGGTGATTGGTTGCTTCGTCCGTTTCGAGAATCGCAATTTTGTCAAAACTTGTATGGCGCGATCGCTCGCGGAATACATCGTTTATCAAGTTGATTCGAACAGTTGAGTAACTGATTGTGACTGTTGATTATTTAAAAGTGACTGTAACTAGTGCGATAAGTTGTTGTCAATAAAGTGTGCTCGCGTCGTATCGTGTTACGTTAATTATCGCGTGTTTTTGCGACTTAGAAGCTGACTTTCGCGTCAGGTCGACCGAGAGATGACGGAAATTTTCTCCGGATTGATTTCGACTTGTTGCTGTATCGGCGTCGAGATATAACGATCATCACCAGGTACGTGAATTTTATTGAAATTGTTCATCATACTCTCAATTAGGTCGTGATCACGTCAGAATCGCGATGATGAGACCAACAATTTGGCGTGAAAAGATTCGCGATAAGAAGACGAAACATAGTTGTTTGTGATTATTTATTAATATCAAGTTATTGGTGTGTAAAAATATTGTTTACACACAGAAATATAGATATATACATACAATAAATAGAAAAAGAATACGTGTCCTCTATTTGTATATGATATTGCTTTTTCACATTTTGGCACATCTTTCTAAAATGGAGTACGAGTTATGGCAATCTTATTTCTTTGCTAAAAGAACATTGTCATTAAGATTTTTTTTTTTTTGAGCTGCGCTTGAATACTACTCAAATAATAGAATTCCTTTCTCTTGCCACTTGTTGTGTATTAGGAATTGGTGGTTTGGATACAATTATTTTGTCGCTTAGATCTTTTATGCATTTTGGCAGTGGTATCAAGTCTTCATAAATTGGTCGTTTGTACAATCTCTTAGCTTCCAATCTCTGTTCTTCAGTTACTGTTCTGTCATCCAAGTGCACCAGATATGGAAACCAGGATAACACGAATAACCTTGTTAAAAAAAATTGCAAAACAATCAGAACACAAGACAAATAAAAGCACTTGTAATCAAGTTGCAAAATAAAAAACTGTTTTCCACATACCTGTAGTTAATGTAATCATAGAAAGTTCCACCATTAAGATAACTAGGTGCTGCCTTGTTTCCCATAAGGCACAAGTATTTGAGGTTCGGTATACTTCTTTGGAGATTCTTGACAAATGGATACAAATTTGCAATCTGGTTATGATTCAGCCACAGAAGCTCAAGATTTGGCATGTGTGGGAACACAGTAGTGTCGTCTATCATATTGTGATCCATGTTGAGAGATCTCAAGTTGTCAAATTCTGATAGAAATTGTAAATTCCTGAAATGCCAAAATTATTCACATTTAGATGTAAGTAAGTTCCAAGTGTAACAAATTCTGTATTTTATCGCAAAACTTCTGCTAGATATTTACCTACTGAACATATTGTGGCTAATATCTAAGTGATATATAGCGGTACCAAAATCTTGCAATATGTTATGTGGTATGGTGAAAAGATCTTCATAAGCAAGGGACAAAGAATTGACAACTTGTGTTTTGGTCGAATCACTCATACTCAATGATTGTCTAGAATGTTTGTCCGCAAATACTAGTGTCCCCAGACAAGTCATGGTAGTCTCTTGCACCCTGGCGTCTTGCAATTCTATCGCTTCTTGTGAATATTCTACCTCATTGTTAGTGTCCAGCCTGTGTGATAACATAATTTATTAGAAAATTATATTAATCAAAAAGAATATTTCATTTATTAAAGAAATAAAAATACCTACAATCTATTGTAAATATATATTCTCTGCCTAAGTGCTTTGATATTAAGTTTTCGATATGTATTAAGTTGGTGAAGTAACATTTTAAATTCGACGAAGTCTCTCGATCTTTATAATTAAAAATTAGTTAAGCACAGAATTTGTGTTATTGAACAGCTAATAATGAGGCAGATTTATAGCGTAATGTACTCCCTTTCGTTACATTATTATTCTTACTTTGTCACCTCTTGATGATCTAGCGCGAGGCAAACATCGAAAAATTCCACACACTCTTCGCATTCAGTGCTCAATAAATCCGAGCTAGACATCGCTCGACGTTGGCGAATAATATTGCACGAACAGCTCTGAATCGTCGAAGCAAGAAAATCTTTTGCTGTCGCGTGAGACAATTGTCACGTTCATCGCGACTTCGTACGAAAGATAACTACTGTACCGGGAATCAATTTGACCAAGTTATCGCGCATTCGCATGGTGGAATATGATAAGATATGAGCAAGATGAGGAAACCAGAGCAGAAAAAAAAATGTACAAATGATTTTAAGAACGATATGAAAATCGATACGATTCAAGATTAGACTGTGTGTATGTGTGTGTGTAGAAGTAAAAACAAAACTGATTAGAGGTTATATATACGCACATATTTGTTAGAAAACAGTTCGCTATGATGTAGTATATCGGTGAAACTGAGAATAAAAGGAGGATGAGACAAAGATTGCACTTGCTGCAATCGCGTAAGAGCTCATTAATCTGCTGCAATTAGCTCATTTGGCCGAGATATTTTCGTAATGTCATTGGACTCTCCTTTTATTTGCAGCACCATTTATTTTGTGATTTATAATGCAATCAACTTACTCTGTGTGCTCCGCGCTCCTCAAATCGCGAATCAGCATTCGATTAATCACTGAATTTTTCTACATTTATCTCGGTTTTTGTATCTTCCCACCGGCCCCCCGGGCAGGCCGGGACGGGATAAGGAACCGTGTAATAATCTTTCTGCACACAGCAGCTGTTTCTCTCGTTCGATTTATGCGAACGAGATGGAGCTACTGCAAAACAACACATCTGCTCTGTAAAATCCATTCAAATGGATTACACACACGTTTGCAAATTCGCAAACGTTCAATCCTCGTAACATGTGAACGCGATGGCAAAATGCTTTTAAAAGCAATAAAGAATTCTCTACAAACTTTTAATTGTCATTTCACAGTAAAAAAATACAGTGTTTCAGATATCTCGATTTTTATTTCAGTATGTATAATGGAATTGCAGAAAATGTAGAAACACATTTTTCTCTCGCTGTGTTTTCTGCAAGTAATTTTGTTAATTTTTTTAACAATTGTTAACAAATATTATATATATTTTTCTCTTTTGTTTTAATAATAAACTATGACTGATCTGTAATTAGTGTTTTAAAGAACTATTGTAAGGTTTTACGCGGTGATTCAATGAGTGAAAGGAATAAATAAAACATATAGATGATAAATGATAGTTAAACGCGAAAACATTGCATTTGCATTTTTTAAATCAAAATAAATAATACTTTACATTTAGAAATGAATAATGATTATTTACAATACAAAAAAATTTAATTAAAAATACAAAGAAAATGTTTGCATATCGTTGTGTGTGTGTGCAAATAATGATGAACTAACGGTATTTCAAAGAAATGTTGCTTGCATTATATACAATTTCTCACATTTTTTTATTACTAATTAAAATAATTTAATCTGTGTTTATAACAGTTATAAAATAAAAGATAATACAAAAAAACACAATAAAAGAGATAAAATATAATAAAGCTATATTCTTAGGTTGCTTTTGGTTTGATAACATTGTGGCGACAACTAAAATAATGAAAAAATCTAGATCTCCTTCCATATAAGACCAGAAATAAAATTAATATTTGAAATAAAACTTTCTCAGTATCGTTGCAATTAATAAAACTAGAGCTATCAAAGGTCCGGAAGAAACTGAGACCACGCCAGTTCCATAATAATGAACTTCACCACAAGCTGGCGGACAAACGGGTATAATGGTTTCGGAAAGTTCAAGTTTTCCATGAGCAACGCCCAGTTCATTTTGAGCACGACACGTGTACTTCCCGTATTGCCGTTTTTCTATAGAAAGAATCCGAAGTGTGGTATGAGTGTAATCAACCGCGTCTGCAAATTGGGCTATACTGTAATGCTGACTATTTAACAACTCCTGGCCGTTCTTGTCGTACCAAGTAATAGCTGGCGGAGGATAAGCTTCTACATGGCACTCCAAATCCGCATCATATTGCAGAGCTTGTCCGACTCGCGATCTCGAAATTTCGATTACAGGTGAGAATTCAACTTCCACATTAATGTTGCGTTTAGAACCGCGTCCAACGCCATTGTCGGCAATACAATAATATGTTCCACGACTCTCTCTCGTCACGACAGGTAAATTTACTATATTACCGTTGTAAATAGCATTTCCGGAAGGAAAAATCTTATTATTTTGTCTACGCCACGATATGGTTGGCGATGGGTAACCACTGGCGTAACATTCTAATTGGATAGATTGATCTTCAGCGACTAGTACAGATTGTGTTGAATTATCACTAATTATCGGTGGTCTACGAATTTCCAATTCTACTTCCGCACTGACAGAACTGCTTATAGATATTTGTATTTTACATTGGTAGTATCCAACATCTACTTCTTGTAAGCTTTTAATCTGAAGATGATAAGTAGAAGTTTCTGAGTCATATCTTATAGAAAATCTACTATCCGCAATTATAATTCCATTATTAATTGCGAGTGTTATTTGGTCCTGTTTGTTCTCTTTATTAATTTTGATCCATAAAACGGGATAAACCGATGCATATTGAACGGAGCATTGTAATTCAACAGTCTCACCGATGTCCTTAACTTGTTCCTGCGTTATGTAAGATATCGTTGGAGAACGTTGAGCCGCAATTGTATGCAAAAATGCAAAAGTCAAAGCCAAACTAATAGCACGCATGATGAAACGTCCAAAACGGCACGTATACAAACGTTCAATCTTCCTCAATTGTCAATCTTATTATCGAACATTGGATTTTTTTTTTAAATCAAGCTCACATTTATAAGTTTCTGTCGTTCAAGATAAGTTGATGAGCTTATAAAATGACGTCAATTAAACGTTGCGAAGAGTGTAAGAAGAAGAAGAAACGTGGCAAGCTTCTTGAAACTTGTATTCTTACATTTATGATCGGGATAAACTGGTCGAACTCTTATGAAACAAATTGTCAAACTAAAATATAAAATGTCAATTAAATTTACTGAAGTCTCCGTATAATATTTTACATATATATATGTATGTAGAATTATTAGAACGTAATTTGCTTTTATTTATCGTAAATTCGTCTTTGTGTTTGCTAATAACACCAAGATCTGATTAGCACTTACGTGTTGTTTTTTGGAAGTTCACAAAAATCCTTTGTTTTCCTGACAAGTTTTTCCGAGTAAAATTCAGGTTAGGTTGTTACACTTTTATCACTCAACGATATTTCTTCAGAGTTTTACAGTAGTATTACGGTATTTGCACCATGTAGCTTCAAGTCTATTTCGCTACTGTCACACGTCTTATTTTTGAGGGAGTTTTTATAGAGTCAAAACAATTAATGGACTTTGAATTTAGATATTTTGGACAATGAGAAATATATCAGTTCTTTGTACAAAGTAAAAATGTCCAGTCGATTATGTCCATTCGTAGATTAAAAATACACCACAGTTATCAGACTTCCGACATTTTTCCGACAATGATACGTGTGTATTGTCACAATACATTCATTACTTTTAAGAAATAATATATTGTATAATATAAGTTGAAAACACACATACATCTAATGGACTTTGAATGTAGATACTTTCGTCTAATGAGAAACAACCATTGTTTCATTGTACAGAGAGTGATTTTCGATCTATTGCATTAGTTCGTAAGATAAAAGTACATTCGTTATCAGACGTCTGACATTCTCTCAGGAGACGTGATAACGCAATCACATAATGTTCTTTTGTTCTTATGTACATGTCGATATGTTGCAACAGTATCGAATTAAACGCTGAAGCTTTAACGTTCAACTCTTTCACTACGGCGGAACTGACCGCCATCGCTGAACGGAACTCCATGTAAGCGCATTTATTACGCGATTATTTGTTAGATTATATAATAAAAATAAACGCGAAGAACAAAAAATGATATGGACGAGACACGCTGTATGTATTAAAAAATTATTGATATATTGTCACATTTCTTATTTCAATAAGCGAATGTTACTTATCGGGCGACTGCAGTCACTTGTAGTTTATGAACAGCGTTTCTCGTGGCGAACGACTATAGTCGCATGTAGTAGCGAAAGGGTTAATAGCACGCGCTTTACCGTTCAAGTATTAATACTACCATTAAACTATTATCCATTATAATCCCGTATTAACACTCTCTGTTAGTTAACGTCATTATTATCTCCGAGCATTAAGCGTCGTATTGGCTTATTGTAACGGACGTAATGACAAAGAGCGATTCTCCCGACTGGATCCCTGAATATCCGATCTCGACTACTTAGCTCGGCTAATTAATAGTGGAAGTAATGGGAGTAAATAGAGGGCACATGGGAGCGCGCGCAGGACGAAGTCGGTCTCCATTGACAACGGCATGCAATGACCTGGTTAGTCTGTTTTTTTTTTTTTTTTTTTTTTTTTAATGTATGTAAAACAGTTTCATGCGCGTGAAGACAAGTGTGAATTTTTCATAATTCACGTAATAAAAAAAGCTTCGATCAACGTTAATCAATTTTAATGTAATTTATTACGTTTTTAATTTTTCTCTGATGAAACTGACGAATTGTATAAAGTTATTGTACGCTGTGTGTATAATAATAGAGTGCGCATGTGAACTAAATATGTGAAAGGGGAGATAAAAAGTAGAAATGTTTCTTGAAAGAGATGCAATCCACAATTTTAATTTTCTTACAGCATATATATATATTTTATTTTTCTTTGTCCACACACACACATCTCTCACGCGCGCTCGCACGCGTACAGGGATATATATACTGTGGTATTTATATAACATATTCTCTTATATATATATATATATATATATATATATATTTTATGCATCTCTTACACAGGAACGGGAATAGCACGTACATATCTATTACACAAGAGTGAGCATATTTATGCTTCTTTCAACATGGAACCATAGATATTACGCAGGCACGTTTTAAGCAACTTTGATTAATCATTGGAACACGAATTGTGTGTAATTAATATCTTCATTAAAATCCATAAACTTAGAGTGTACACGTAACTTTTATAATTTAATTTTTATAAACCTAAAATTATGAATTAAAATTTTCATAAATATCAAATTACTTGAGAGAAAAAAATTTATATACTGAGTATAATCTAAAAAAATAGCGTAATAAAACTTCGGTAATATAATTGTCTCATTACAGCGCATAAAAATTAAGCAAAATTGTCTAATAGACAAAAACAGAGATAAAGCGTCTTATCGTGAAACGAACAAAACTGCGCGTGAAATTTTATTATTTCGTTAAGTTGTTACTAACGTCATATTGTGTCGCTTAATTCGTGCCTGGACGTTTTCAATTGACAGCGAGTGTTTCATTACATCCATATTTCTCTCTATAGTTTATAGCCGCATCGTATATTCGTTTAATAATTCATCGACTTGACTTACGATGGACGAGAATTCAGCGATTATTATCAGTACAACCACTTTCTATATAACCCAAGTACGGAAAATACTCGCTATATATGATTCATATTCTTATTTCACTCGATGAATTAAATATACTGCTGTTTCGATATATGTGTGTACATATATATATAGGTATGTCGTTTACGTTTGTCTCTTCACGGGCAGTGATCAATAATCAAAACGAATCTAAAAATCCAATCCTCTTCGGCTTCACAAAAACGCTTTCTGCTAATGAAAAATCAGTATAACAACATTTGAAATGCGTAAATTATACACATATTTCCGTGGTTTCCGCAGGCTAACATTCGATCGCTCTTTCCCCGATACGATGCACATCAATTATTACGACAACACAATTAATTTCCGAAAGACATTTATCATTAATTTCACAATATATTTTAACGCGGGTTTATATTTCTACGTAAATACGATGACAAAAACACAAATATATCGATTAAACACGACCAAACTTTTGTTCACAAAACACAAATACGATAGCAATTAACGCTGAAGTATCATTGCGACGAAGGTTGTTTTTAATCGTCGAATCGATCGAAAACGCGCAAACTGCTTACGAAAAATTCAATTCTCGTACTTGCTCCGATCTGATACGCGCGATTTTCGATTTTGCGATACAGCGCAATTTGTAACAACAATTTTGTTCGCGCGGCGAATAGCCGTTAATCGAGTACGGTAGCGCGCCGTTTATCGATCTCCTTCATGTTTCGTTTTGCGTTAGTTTTCTCTTTTTTTTCCGGTACATGATACACGCACTTCCTGCTGCAATTAAATCCTCCTCTTCAGTGAAAATAGCTCGTACTCCGGGGAATATATGAAGGTACCAATGAGAGAGCTCGATTCCGACGAAAAAGGGCTTTTGTTTCACAAGGGTGTACGGAAAATTAAACGGGGGGAGGGGGGAGGGATGGCCGAGCAGAACAGAAGAGGCACGAAACTCGCGGGGTAGTAGATGGGTGCTTTGGAAAAAATACCGCGACTGCTATGTGCGTGAAGAGGTGAGCGCGTGTTTGGCGCCCGCGAGCGTGGCACCGTTTGTTTTCGATTCTCAAAATATCTTTCGCAGACTGGGGGAGAATCTAACTAGCTTTTCTCCGCCGCCAAATGCCAATCAGTTTCGGTGAAATTGCGCAAACCGCGTGTCGTTTGTAATTTACGTTTGCCGAGAGAACGCGGGGAGAGAGACGCGAAACGACGAGAAGAGGATTTACGCGCGAGACGAATTTTTTTCTGCGATCGACTGCCCTCGGATGCGCACGCGTTTTTCGCGAATGCAAATAAATAACTATTATAGTAGATATATACGTTGCACGCAACGAAAAAAGAGAATCGCTTCACAATCGCCCATTTCCTCGTGTCGCGTGTATCGAAACAGCGTTTTTTTAATCACTTTTATAATACGCAAGGGCGTTTATTTACACACTATGCGGCATAATTAGCTCGTCGGCGGTGAACGGATCGATATGCGCCGTAAAGATATAGGTACTTGATCCGAGTCCCCTAACATGTGCTCGCTATGAAATATTTAGCGTGGAAGAAAGCGATCGGAAGAAATCTCAATATGGATTCTTTGACAAAATTTGCGCGGAACATTTCAGCCACGTTTGTGAACGCGAAAAATTGAAAAGCGAAGCCGGATAATTTCTGAAGGCGGGGAGAGGGGGAGGGACGATCTGGGGTTTGCGAAGAGATTGTTGCGAATGACGCGTCAAAGGAAAACAGTGGCAGCAGCAGCGAAAGAAAGAGCTGCAAGCTAGATGTTCGATCTATCCTGTTAACTCTGTGTTTTGTTGCAGCGCCACTCGATGGCGGATGCAATAATAAAACATCCCGGTGGGGCAAATAAACCTTCAAATACACGAAGTTGTAAGGCTAGATAGATTGTTTTGGCCGGAATTTCACTCTTTGCGATACTGAATAGAATTCAACCACGTATGTGGCGTAACTACAGAGAGAGCAGCGGTAAAGAACAGAGGAAATAATTGAAAGCTCTTTCTCTTTCTCTTTCTCTCTCTCTTTCTCTTTCTCTCTCTCTCTCTCTCTCTCTCTCTCTTCTCAATTTAATTTTTTAGCTATTGGTATTATTATTATTATTATTAGTATCATTATTATATTATGTAAAGATGTGTGTGAACAGAAGCAGGAGAAATAGGAATTGTTTTGACAAAATACAGATTACAGAATTTTTCTGTATCTATCTCTCTTCAGAGAACGAGTCTCTGGTAACGATTACATAAAATAATCTGTATCTGTAACGATGAAAATATATATGTATATATGTGTGTACATATATATTTGTATATGCGCGCCTTCAATCTCACGGGGTGGTGAAGTTAGAAAGAAGTCTTTCCGAATATAAAGTTGCCAGGTACGTTCGGATCGTCGGAGCAGAAATATTGCTTCCACAGGTTGGCGAATTTCTCGCGAGTCACTTCCTTACCCTGCGGAGAAGTAAAACAGAATTTTCGTGAGATACATCGACCCTTTACATCGTCGTTGTTTTTTCCTGTCTTATTTTTTAGTTAATGTTTTTTTAATTATTTTTTTTTTTCCGCCTGATTGACACTTACCACTTGCAATTTCTTGAACGCTTCGCGCGCCTCGGCCTCTTCGACGCCGTGACTGCCGCACACCTTGCTGAATTCGGCTTCGTCGATCGATCCGTCACCTGGTGACACAGGATAAGATCGCATTCGAGACTTTGAGACCGTGTATATACTTCATACACACGTGAGCCGTTTAAACTAACCGTATTTTATACGTACACAAGGGTCGAGGTATAAATCACGATGAGACATTTTCGTACGTCGGATGTGAGAAAAGAAGTGTATTATTAGAAATTACTATGAATGAGGGGAACAAAAATGGACGGGTGTTGCTTAATTGATATTGTGATTTTAACCCTCGTTTGTTCTCCCGCCTCAAAACCGTCGTTTATTTTTAACTCTTTATTAATTCATCTATTTTCGCGAAATATTCTACAAAAAGATGTCATTGTTCGAACAAAAACAAAAACACAGTTGAGAAACAGTGAATGTTCGACTATAGTCGCAAAATGTTCGAGCATTTCAATTAATGAAAATATTCTGCGCAAATATGTTCAAGCGCGCGTTGAAAATGGATAGGAACTATAAATTATGCAAAATACGTTTTATTATATATGGAATTTGTTGCGTCCTCTGTGTCGCATCAACGCTGTTCGATGAAAAGGGGAAAGACGGGTTTATGGAGGGCTGACGTATTGAGTTTGCTGTAATTCGCAAAACTCTCTGCGAGGGGACGGAATTAATGATATACGTTTTTCCTCGTCCGTCTAGTCACTCTACGCTCGAGTAATTATGCTTACATTAGTATTTCTGGAATCTCTGCGCAAACGCGCAATAAATTACCGCGTAAACCAGCTCGCGGCGAACATAAACGTATTCATTTTGCTCGGGAAACGGGAGCATGCGGAGAAAACACGAAGAGAGAAAAAGAGAGAGACAGAGTGAAAGAGAGAGAGAGAGAAAGAGAGAGAGAGAGAGAGAGAGAGAGAGAGAGAGAAAGAGAGAGAGAATCTTACCGGAAGAATCCTCGAGATCGAACATGAAGTTCATGTATGTTTGTTGCCATTCGAGTGCGTGCTCCGGATCTTTCGCGTACTCTTCCCACATCGAGTACCACTCATCCCGACTGATCTGAAAGGTACCGCGACTGTTAATATCGCGTACGTAACACATACACACGCACGCATTCGCTTCTGATCAGCGAGCTGTGTTTGCCGCGCAGGTCGTTTTATATTTTAATCTTAAAAGTCGCGGAATGTATCGTGAAATATTTCCTTTACGTAGCTGAGTGAAACGCAAATACACGAGCTGCAGACATATGCACGTGGCTATTTCGAAAGCGTAAAAAATACTTTGAAAATCGATGTAAGCGCGAGCAGACGGAACGGCAAAGTGGAACGGCACGCTAAAAATTTAGATAGTTATTTCCGAGACTGTGTAAAACTGCGGTAAAAGAAAAACACTTTCGCAAAAATGTGCTGATACAAATCATAAACTTGACTTTATAGTTGAAGTACAATCAGAGAGAGAGAGAAAGAGAGAGGGAGAGAAGTAATTGAATACATCGTACCTGCCCATCCTGATCGGCATCCCCTCGTTGCTGCAGTCCCTCCCAAACTTTGTTCAAAGTCTCTTTAATATGTTGCGACTTGGCGTCGTCCGGTTTCAAATGCCTGGAATTGCAGATTCGCTGGAACAAACACGAGATAAATCGCCGAATCATCTCGAGCTCGTAAATATCGAATTCTGATCGATATAAACGCGAATAAAAGAAACTAAGCGATCGAATGATGCAAGGAAAGACAAAAAGATGAAATCAAAAAAACTGCTTACTTGCACGGCGAGATCGAAATCCTTTATGTCGATGGTGCCACTTTGATTAACATCTAGAAAAAATAACGTGACGTGTTATATTCTTATATGTAGTAGTACATCTTTCGCTCAAATTTATGATTTTAATTAAAAATTTCAATTATCGTGGCAGCTTGTTTTCTGGAATTTTCTCTTTTAGGGAGCAGTTATTTGTTATTTTGTACAAAATGCGACCTGCTGCAGTCCCGACTCTGCAGACACTGTCGCTAGCATTTTTCCGCAAAGCATCGTACATTTTCCCGCTTTAAAGGACAAGATGAACGATCATGCCACTCGATTTTGGCTCCGCTCGGCCACGTGATCGGATGTCGTTAGTTTTCTGAAGATGACCCACTTCTCTTGCGTCGTTGTCGTTGTCGCGACGTTTATTCGTTTGCGCGCGGCTTCCGCCCGCCGGCTGTCGTTTATTAATCCCGTTTCACTGCAGAGAAGGATGCTACCCTCCGTTACGCCCCTTTTTTGTCTCGGCGCGCCGTAAGCCGGAATCCCGTTAAGCGCCGATTACGATTCAACGAGATAGAATTTATTGTTACTCCGGTCATATCCGTCGGGGGAGCGCTTCACAAGCCGAGGTCACGATGAAATAATTAATATCCGACGTCCGGACGGTGCAGCCGATATCTTTTTAACGGTGCAACTTGTTGCAAAAACTCTGAACTCTCAGATAGATTAAAAATCAATTAATCGAATGCTCGCGTATAAGTTACGTCCCGGGCAAAGATGGTGCAAATAAATAATGCACTTGCTTTTTTGCATCGAAATCGTATTATAATACTTATCGACGAAGAAAATGTGTCAGTTTGAAAATTAATAAATATAAATATGAAGTATATGAAAGAATCTTTTTGAAAATTAAAGAATGGAGCCGCGCGACTGTCAACTTCTTTGTCGGCAGTTCTGCGATATGAGTCTGCGAATTAAAAAAAAAAAACAAAGACAGAGCATTCTCGTTACGTTTCTTCCTCGATTTCATATCGCATTTTAATTACCACGTTACACGTGAAATAAATGTATATTCGGAGAAGCGTCTGTATAGAGGATATGTTTAGCGACCAATCGGCGACGATCAAAGCGGAGAAGAAAACGAGAGGTTAATGAGAGCTGCCAGGCATGTGCACACTTGTGACCTCCAGGATCTGCGCCACGTTGCACACTCATATATGTATGTACCTCATATTCGCACGTTTCTGGGCGCACACAAACGGACGGCGTGTCATGTTTCGCGACGTACATGCATTTTTACATTATGTGTGTCATCACGGAAACATATGCATACGCTGAAATGCGCAGATCCTTTTTACTCATAAACGTAACAAAGATGTATAAACCTTGCGTGAGTCTGAAAAGAAGTCCGGAGAATGCTTGATAATCTGAAAACACGAAAATTACAAAATCGAACTCGATGCAAGTTTAATTGAACGTTGGCACAACGTTACACTCGTTCGACGGTCGACGCGTTTTGTCGTGTGTATTTAACCCTCGGAGAACACACTGGGTCAATTTGACCCTGTTCGTCGACTTTGATCAAAATATTTTTAAAGCCGTTTTGAAATCTGCAAGCCCGAGGTTCT